TTTTGTCCCCCTTCTGTCCCCATGTTGTCCATACATTGCCCCCCCCGTCTGGATTTGTTCCCCCAGTTGTCCCCACGTTGTCCCCATGCTGTGTCCCCACATTGTTCACAGAATCATAGAAATTGTCCTCGTTGTCCCCACGTTGTTCTCATGTCATGTCCCCAAATTGTCCCCATGTTGTCCCAGTGTTGCATCCCAATGCTGTCCCCACTTCGTGTTCCCCCCATCCCATGTGTGTCCCCCTGCTTTGTCCCCACATTGTCCTAATGCTGTGTCTCCATCTTGTGTCCCTGCTGTCCCCACATCATCCTCACGTTGTGTCCCCATGTTGTCCCAATGTTGTGTCCCCACGACGTCCCAACGCTGTACCCACGTTGTGTCCCCCCAGTGTCTCCACACTGTCCCCTCATTGTGTCCCCTGCTGTCCCCACATCACCCTACACCGTCCTTGTGTCCCCACATTGTGTCTCCACGTCACATTTCCACGTTGTGTCCCCTCACTGTCCCCACATCATCCCCAAACCGTCCCTATGCTATGCCCACATTGTCCCCATGTTGTCCCCACACTGTGTCCCCATGTTATGTCCCCCCACTGTTCCCACATTGTCCCCAAACTGTGTCCCCACATTATGTTCCCTGCTGTCCCCACATCACCCCACACTGTCCCTGTGTCCCCATGTTGTGTCCCTGCTGTCCCTATGTCACATTCCCACATTGTCCCCCTACTGTCCCCCCACTATCCCCATGTTGTCCCCATGTTTTATTCCCCGTGTCCCCACAGCGTCCTTCTGCTGTGCCATGTGTCCCCACACTGTGTCCCCGTAGTGTCCCCAAAATGTCCCCACACTGTGTCCCAATGCTATCCCCACATTATGTCCCCCCACTATGTCCCCATAGAGTCCCTACACTGTCCCCACATAACCCCAAACTGTGTCCCATGTTATGTCCCCTGCTGTCCCCACATTGTCCCCATGTTGTGTCCCCCATCGTCCCCCCACTGTTCCCACATCACCTCACGCTGTCCCCCCTGTGTCCCCACCCTATGTCCCCATGTTGTATCCCTGCTGTCCCTATGTCCCTGTCACACTGTCCCTGTCACACTGTCCCTGTCACACTGTCCCTGTCACACTGTCCCCATACTGTGTCCCCCGCTGTCCCCACATCATCCCCAAACTGTGTCCCAATGCTATCCCTACATTACGTCCCCATGTTGTGTCCCCACGTTGTCCCCGTGTTCTGTCCCCATGTTGTCCCTCTGCTGTCCCCACATCACCCCACACTATCCCATTGTCTCCACACTGTGTTCCAATGCTATTCCCATGTTGTGTCCCCTCCCTGTCCCCACATCATCCACACCCTGTGTCCCCATGTTGTGTCCCCACATCATCCTCACCCTGTGTCCCAGTGCCATCCTCACGTTTTGTCCCCTCACTGTCCCCACATCATCCCCACATCATCCCCGCCCTGTTTCCCAATGCCATCCCCACATTACATCCCCATGTTGTCCCCTGCTGTCCCCATGTTGTGTCCCCCCGTTGTGTCCCCACATCATCCTCGCCCTGTGTCCCAGTGCCGTCCCCACGTTTTGTCCCCTCACTGTCCCCACATCATCCCCACCCTGTGTCCCAATGCCACCCCCACATTACATCCCCATGTTGTCCCCTGCTGTCCCCACATTGTGTCCCCCCATTGTTCCCCCCGCTGTCCCCACATCACCCCATATTATCCCTGTGTCCCCACATTGTGTCCCCTCATTGTCACC